GGTTAATGTCATGGGATTTGATGATGATGATAAAGACGAGTTTGAGGTGATGATGATGATGATGAAGAAGATGATGAAGAAGTAATGATGATGATCTAGACGATGATGTCATGATGACGATGATAATGTAGTTTTGATGATGATGATGCTGATGATGATGATGATCTATCTAGCGCCATCACTTCATCTCAAGTCTTATGGGATGCATTCACTTAACATCAACAAACTTATGTTAATGTTGTCGTTGTTGTCGTTGTTGTTGTTGTCGTTGCTAAATTTAATATGAATAATTTTAATGTATAAAATATTAATATCACAAATTATTTATTAATGATTTTATGCTTTTGGACATTTTTAAAATATTTTTTTGAAATGAAATCTATAAATTTAAAATGGGAAATTTCGAACAACATATATTTGATCGCTGAGTTTTTCCATGAAAGAATAATAGTTTAAAAAAAGAAGTTTGTATTATTTTCTGTCCTGTGTGTGTTTGTTGCGTGGCAGATGGTGTAGTGTAGCTTAATTTTTGTTCTTAATTTACGTAAATAGTTTTTTTTTTTAGAAAAAAAATTTTGTACCTCATAAAATAATTTTGCCGAAAATTATTTTGAATAATAAATAAAAAAATATAATTCATGGTAAAAAAAATGTTGTAGTAATTTGCCAGCACAATATCAAAAAAAATAAAATAAAATAAGTGGTGTTTTTAATAATGGAGAATTTTTCAAAAAATTATAATGTATAACTTGACAGTGTATTGACATCCAATGTAAATGTTCAACAAAATGACAGAGAGTGACATCACAATTATTTCGCTGTGCGTCATCATCATTCTTTTGTTTTTCATTTGCAATTCATCATCTCATTCCTCTGAATGGGGAGCTGGCGAGAATGATCTTTCGACTGTAGTTCAACAGATGTGCGTGTTCGCGCGCGCGCATGTGTGCGTGCGTGTGTGTGTATGTGTGCGTGTGTGTGTGTGTGTATGTTGGTTCTTGTTTAAATTCAAATATGTTTTTAAACTTCAGAAGAGCATCTACTCGTTTATATGCAGGCTGAAATGACGGATTCATTTCTTACATTTAAAATATTCAATTACCTTATATTATATTTCTTAGTTAGACACTACAATTATTATTATGGTTTAATATTGCATGTTCATTTTTAAATGAATACACAAACAAATTTGTGTACATTGGACAACGCGCAGACACGCGCGTGCCTTAGGTACATACCAAATATGGCGAATATGGATCAAATATATAAAAAAATATATATCCATTCAAATCAAATATATTTCAAAATATTGTATTTAAAAATTATTTTAAGTCATAATCGAAAAATAAGAAGCATAACAACAAATAAATAAATAATAAAGTTGCGAGCGTATAAGTGAGTGACATGGATAAAAGTATGAAAAGGTTATCTGTGTTATGAGGACATACGTCATCATCATCCTCCAATCAGAAACACGCGTTCTTATGACGTCATTTTCAATTTTGCGGGTCAATAATCGAGGAGGAAATCAATGAAAAATTGAGTTGAAAGGTCAGGATGACGGTTGATTTGTGGTCAGATATGATGAATTGCATGGACTTCACGTACATACAGGTTGTACAGAAGTTCATCGTGCACTGCGTAACCTACGATACTCATGATGTTGTTGGTGCGTTTATGGGGGTGTGTTTGTTTCTGGTGTGTTTGTTAGTAGTTTGTTTGTTTGTTTGTTTGTAACGTGATTGTATTATTTTTGTTGGTGGTTTGTAAGGTTAAGGCTGACTTGTTTGCATACGTAAGTCAGTGCATCTAACTTGTTGTTGGTTGAACTGATGAATTTCAATTTAAAAGTTGATTACTTAGAAGATGACAAAATTACAATATTTATATGAATGACGAATTTCTGATCAATATTGAATCATCTAGGATCATTAGATGACATTTGTTGCAACGAACCATGCCGTTTCAACCAACGAACATAACGTATCTTTCTTTACAAATCATTCAACTCTCTCTTACTCAGTTACAATTTATTATGTATTTAACGGATTAAACATGTATGAATAGGAATAGGCAAACGCATCATACAGAAAAACGTGAGGCAAAACTTGTGAATAGGACCTACATATTACCTGCTACAGTCAGTTACTCTTGATTTGTCATCCAACAGATACTTATTAAACCTTCAGAAGTCTCAAAATGAAATTTTGAATACTACTAAAAACGGATAAAGCATAATTGTTTTATGTTTTAATCATATAACCATATACTTAATGAATGGTATATTTAACTTAATGTTAATATTTCATTTCTATTCTAATTAACTTGAGACTTCTCCATTTGATGACCGTGGAAATATTGACAACAGCTTACATAAGAGAGGGGTCCTACAGACATTTTAGTAGGGAGGCTTTGGTAATTTAAAAAAAGGGGCAGATAATTTTTTCATGTGAAACCAGATTTATAAAAAAAGCTTCCGTGTTTGTTATAAATATAATTCATTGTTTGCCCGACAGCTTCTGACTCACCTCGGACGTGAAACATCCAAACTGTTCGATCTCTCGTCGACGCAAACATAAACAATCTACTAAACATGGCACATCCCCGTTGTCATGGAAACAATCCTACTTAGCCTGTTGCCAAGGCAACAAGCAGACAGACATCAGTGTGGACAAATAAAACATTAAAGTTATCGCTTAAGATCACAATTCGAAATGAAGAGACAAAATACGAAGAAGATCCCCCGCCGGGCATTAAGAAAAGTCGTAAGAAGTAATAAAGCCATCAGATGGCGTTGTTCTTTATGTTGTCCTCCTTGCTGTTGCATTTTGATGGTTGGCGTTGGTGATGTTTGTGTTGGTGTTTGGTTGGTGTTGCTTATATTTATTGTTGCTTATGTTGTTGCTGCTAATGTTTTCATTAATGTTTGCTTGTTTGTTGTTCATTTATTAAAATTGTCGTTTCTGTGAACAAGCATTTTTACATTAAGTAAATTAAATTGTTCTAGTTCTTGCACTTGATTTTTAATTAATATGCTGTTATTGTTCCATCTGCATGTTGTTGTTTAATGTACATGTTGTTGTTTAATACGCATGTTGTTGAATACATTAAATTGCGTTGTTTGTACCTCACAAATGCAGTTGTTCGTTTTTCAGCAGTTTTTAACGTATTGATTGTGCTATTGATCTGCTGGTGTTCAGTTACCGCCAGCAGATGATTGTTTAAAAATATTTTCATTGCCCATCAGATAAGAGTTTATATTTATTTCAACATTAACGTTCTTTCTTTCGTCTGCAAGTATGCACGATGACCTTTTTCAATTAGCGTTGCTTCGTTTGAATTTGCGTGCAACAACTAATGAGTCAGTGTAATCTATTGTTTTACCAGATTAGGAATTGTTTTATTGCATTTTTTTCTAAATATATTCACAAACACCACACAAAAATATATTAATGCACCATATAGTGTTATTATATAGCGTAGTTTATCAACAGTATATATATGTGTGTGTGGTATGTTCTACATCGTGGCATGAGGTGAAAAAATTTGAAATTAAAAATAATATAACCTAAAAGAAAATAATGGAGGAAATAAATAAATTATAATTTAATTATTTGATTCATTTGCCTTCAGTTTTTGATGTAGCTAGATATGTATTGATTCATATGGACATGGGCGGTTGAATCATGTAAAACAAAACAATAGCTCTCTCTCTACACATGTATTGATACTTCAGAACATGTCGCTAGCTTGAAATCAGGCAATGTAGATTGATTGACTGACTGACTGACTGACTGACTGACTGACTGACTGACTGACTGACTGACTGACTGACTGACTGACTGACTGACTGACTGACTGACTGACTGACTGACTGACTGACTGACTGACTGACTGACTGACTGACTGACTGACTGACTGACTGACTGACTGACTGACTGACTGACTGACTGACTGACTGACTGACTGACTGACTGACTGACGGACCGACCGACCGACCGACCAACCGACTGACAGATTTATTGATTGATAATTTGGAAGCCAACAAAGAAACAAATGATCATGTCTTTGTCATTTGCTGTACATTCAAAAAGAAACACGATGAATGAATATCACCCTAAAGCATAAATGAAACACTAATAAACAAAAATTATATCACAATATGAAGAAAAACCTAATGCTATGTACAAATATTTGATCGTTGAAATAAAAAAATCCATTGAGATAGAATTATATAATTTGCAACGTGTTCAGTAATACCAAATTAAAAACACATAAATATTTATATATTATATATATATATATAATGTAATGTTTACTACTAATTCCGCAATGCATTACTTCTTTAAATGCTTTCGCGACCACATTTAGAAGAAGAATTAGGTTAGTGAGTGCTATGTCCTAACATAATTTCGATGGTTTATAGCACATTCGGAATGCTTGTAAAAAAGCTGAAAAATTTTGTGTGGTTGCAAACATTAAAATGCATGAACACTTGATCAGTTGAACAGTTCACGTGTTGTGGTCACAATAATGGTCACAAAACTTCACGATGAATCGGCTGATTTGTTGAAAAAGCATTTAATTTTTTCATACTCCATTTACTATAACGGAAACTAACCATTACCAATGACTGCAAAATTAACAATAACCAGTACTTTGTAAAGTTTTGGCAGAAGATGCAGCGGAGTTTGCGAATTTTGTGACCACACAATGACACAACCATAACTTGTTGGATGTTGACTTGAAAATGTAAAAATGTCGTTGTTGCTTTTTTAGAGTTTTGTATGAATTACTAACAAGAAATTTCAATTTAAATCATCAGTGAATATTATTTGAGAACAAAAACCTAAAACAAAAACCGCGCATGTAAAAATAGAATTATGTTGATAAAATTGTTAAATTATGATCATCGTTGTAGTTGATGGTGAGGTTAGGGTTATTATGTTCGGTGGTTGATGGTGATGTTGATGCTTTTAAGGTAGGTGGCTGATGGCCAGTTATAACGGCGGCTGTTGAACGTTTGTCGTTGTCGTTAAGCCGATCTGTGTGGATATTGCGAGTTTGTGGTGACGATGTTGGTGCAAGTAATGAGCGTGTTGTTGTGGAAACATGGACGCTGATGGGTCCGATAATGTTCTGTCTTTATCTATCAAAAACTGATTCGCTATGTTGTCCTTGCTGCTGCTGCCGTTGTTGTTGTTGTTGTTGTTAATGAGGTTGTTAATGTTATTTCCAATGTTGATGTTGTGGTAGTTATTTTCAGTGTTGTTGTTGTTGTTGTTCCCATTTAAAATTTTATTTCCCTCGAAACGAAAGTTTTTGCTTGCCTGCATGATGCCTTGAAAGGCCGCCGAGAAATTACTGGGACCAGTGCGGTGAGCGTTGAAGAAAATGGCCGGTGGGTACACGAGATTGTGATGCTGACCGAAAATGTTTGCGTGTACAGGGTTGATTCTGGGGCCGAAAATGGATGCTCCGTTTGGACCGAAGTGGACTCCCATTCCGTTGCTGATGA